ATAGTGAAGAAGGAATAGGAGGTTGATGGAGAGGGAAGGAGGAGGAAAAGGAAGGAGAGAAGGGCGTGAGGAAAGTTATGGAATAGATACAGGAACAGGATATGGAAAAGAAGTATTGTAGGGAGAGGGGGATAGAGAGTGGATTAACACGGATGAGAATGAGAAATGGGAAGAGAGAGAGAGAGACAAACCGATACATTTTTTTATTTACATTTCCTTACATCATCAAGTAAATCACTTTTGCCTGCCCATGTGACGTTCCTCGTTCATCCTGTGATACTGAATATCATATCATGTAGTAACACATATATATAAACGTATATGATTTTTTTGATTTTTAACTTTAATGTTTATTTTTAATGTTTAAGTCAGATGACGTTGATGTGTTTTGATGTTTAAAAAGATAGTTTTATACGTTTTAACTCAGACAAAACACCGAGTACCTTTTAGAATCAGATTATATGGAAACCTACAATATAGATGTCTTTGATGTCAACTAACTGTACCCAAAATAAAACACACTGCATTTAATAACCTCCACAAAATGTTATTCCTTTGTAGATAAACAGATATGATGGCTAATGACAAAAGCATACAGTATATACCTTTGAAGTACCGAATCCTCTTACCTGTGTTCGGTATATTTATCCGGACATCAGGAATTATGAGGGTGAAGGGTAACGTTAGCTTGGGTTGGGTTAGGTTAGGTTGGGTTAGGTTGGGGTGGGTTAGGTTAGGTTGGGTTAGGTTGGGTTAGCTTGGGTTAGGTTGGGGTGGGTAGGTTAGGTTGGGTTAGGTTGGGGTGGGTTAGGTTAGGTTGGGTTAGGTTGGGTTAGCTTGGGTTAGGTTGGGGTGGGTTAGGTTAGGTTAGAGAGGAATGTGTTTGGGTATCGAAGTCAGAAGAAAAATGCCTGTGTGTGCCTGAGTCATTTCCACCAGAGATGACAGAAGTAATGGGACCTGTTTTTCTTTCTTCTCTCTCTCTCTCTCTCTCTCTCTCTCTCTCTCTCTCTCTCTCTCATTAGTCACAATGGCAAGTCAGTCAGGGTTAACATGGCTAGTCAGTCACCAGGGAGAGTCAGTCACCAGGGAGAGTCAGTCACCAGGGAGAGTCAGTCACCAGGGAGAGTCAGTCACCAGCCAATGACAATCACAAACAGCTCACTCACTCCCTGAACTTGATACTCTCCCTCCTCCCTCCCTTTTATCTTCCCTCTCCCTCCCATCTTCCTTGTCTCCTCCATCTTCTCTATCTCCCTCCCATCTTCTCTATCTCCCTCCATCTTCCTTATCTCCCTCCATCTTCCCTATCTCCCTCCATCTTCCTTATCTCCCTCCATCTTCCTTATCTCCCTCCCATCTTCTCTATCTCCCTCCATCTTCCCTATCTCCCTCCATCTTCCTATCTCCCCCCATCTTCCCTATCTCCTCCCATCTTCTCTATCTCCCTCCCATCTTCTCATCTCCCTCCATCTTCCTATCTCCCTCCATCTTCCTATCTCCCTCCATCTTCCTTATCTCCCTCCCATCTTCCTTATCTCCTCCCATCTTCCTTATCTCCCTCCCATCTTCCTATCTCCTCCATCTTCCTATCTCCCTCCCATCTTCCTATCTCCCTCCCATCTTCCTTATCTCCCTCCATCTTCTCTATCTCCTCCATCTTCCTATCTCCCTCCCATCTTCCTATCTCCCTCCCATCTTCTCTATCTCCCTCCCATCTTCTCTATCTCCTCCCATCTTCCTATCTCCCCCATCTTCCCTATCTCCCTCCCATCTTCCCTATCTCCCTCCCATCTTCCCTATCTCCCTCCCATCTTCCCTATCTCCCTCCATCTTCCTATCTCCTCCATCTTCCTATCTCCTCCATCTTCCTATCTCCCTCCCATCTTCTCTATCTCCCTCCATCTTCTCTATCTCCCTCCCATCTTCCCTATCTCCCTCCATCTTCTCTATCTCCTCCATCTTCCTTATCTCCTCCATCTTCTCTATCTCCTCCCATCTTCCTATCTCCTCCCATCTTCCCTATCTCCCTCCATCTTCCCTATCTCCCTCCCATCTTCCTATCTCCCTCCCATCTTCCTTATCTCCCTCCCATCTTCTCTATCTCCTCCCATCTTCCTATCTCCCTCCCATCTTCCCTCTCCCTCCCATCTTCTCTATCTCCCTCCCATCTTCTCTATCTCCTCCATCTTCCCTATCTCCCTCCCATCCCTATCTCCTCCCATCTTCCCTATCTCCCTCCCATCTTCCTATCTCCCTCCCATCTTCCTTATCTCCCTCCCATCTTCCTATCTCCCTCCATCTTCCTATCTCCCTCCATCTTCCTATCTCCCTCCATCTTCTTATCTCCTCCCATCTTCCCTATCTCCCTCCCATCTTCCTTATCTCCTCCATCTTCCCTATCTCCCTCCCATCTTCCCTATCTCCTCCCATCTTCCTTATCTCCTCCCATCTTCCTATCTCCTCCCATCTTCCCTATCTCCCTCCATCTTCCTTATCTCCCTCCCATCTTCCCTATCTCCCTCCATCTTCCTATCTCCTCCATCTTCCCTCTCCCTCCATCTTCCCTATCTCCTCCATCTTCCTATCTCCTCCCCATCTTCCCTATCTCCCTCCCATCTTCCCTATCTCCTCCATCTTCCTATCTCCTCCCATCTTCCTATCTCCCTCCATCTTCCTATCTCCCTCCATCTTCTCTATCTCCCTCCCATCTTCCTATTCCCTCCCATCTTCTCTCTCTAATTCTCCCTTCCCTTCCCCCTCCCTCTTCCTCTACTACCCTTCCAATCTTCACTTCCTCCTATCTTTCCTCCCTTCTCCCTCCCTTTCTCTCCTTTCTCCTCTCTCCTCCTTTCTCTCCCCTCTCTCCTTCACCATCAAAATGCAGCATTCTCTCCAACTTTTCACCCACAACAACAACAACAACAACAACAACAACAACAACAACAGCAGTAATACAAACAAATCCTCCTCCTCCTTCCTCCTCCCCCTCCTCCTCTTCCTCCCCCCTCCTCCTCCTCTTGCAATGGGAGGAGGAGGAGGAGAGGAGAGGAAGAAGAAAAGAGGAAGACACATAGGACCCCGGAGAAATGATCAAGATGGAGTCCTTCCTTACTTTCCAAACTTTTATTGGTCTCTCGTCTTATATTCTGCTCATGCTGGTAGTTGTGGTAGTTGTGGTAGTTGTGGTGATTGTGGTAGTTGTGGTAGATTGTGGTAGTTGTGGTAGATTGTTGTTATGGATGAGGTGTGTATTATCGACCCCTGAGGTTCCTTTAGAATTCAGGTCAACGTCGCCTGTAAGTCTTTTAGGGATGTGTTTACCCCTCCTCCTCCTCCTCCTCCTCCTCCTCCTCCTCCTCCCTCCTCCTCCTCCTCCTCCTCCTCCTCCTCCTTCTTCTTCTTCTTCCTTTTCCTCCTACCATTCTTCTTCATCCTCCTAGTAGTAGTAGTAGTAGTAGTAGTCGTAGTAATAGTAGTACTAGCAGTAGCTTTCAGTAGCAGAAGTAATAGCACAGTACCAACGTAAATTTGTCTTATTTAACCTCAGATGGGATGGCAAATTGCTATTGACTCACCTCCACTCAGTAAGTGTGTGTTGAGGTTGAGTGTGTTTTGAGTGTGAGTTGGGAGTGTGTTGAGTAGGTGTGTGTTGAGTGTGTGTTGAGTGGGGAAGGTACTGAGCAACTGCAAACGTTAACAACACGAGCCAAAAGCATCTTCCTGTTCCGTGTTCTTCCTGTTCCGTGTTCTTCTGTTCCGTGTTCTTCCTGTTCTGTTTCTTCCTTTTCTGTGTTCTTCCTGTTCCTGTTCTTCCTGTTCCGTGTTCTTCCTGTTCCGTGTTCTTCCTGTTCCGTGTTCTTCCTGTTCCGTGTTCTTCCTGTTATGTTCTTCCTGTTCTGTGTTCTTCCTGTTCTGTTCTTCCTGTTCTGTGTCTCTGTTCTGTGCTTCCTGTTCCGTTTCTCCTTTCCGTGTTCTTCCTTTCCGTGTTCTTCCTGTTCCGTGTTCTTCCTGTTCCTTCTTCTTTCGGTTCTTCCTGTTCCGTGTTCTTCCTGTTCCGTGTTCTTCCTGTTCCGTGTTCTTCCTTTTCTGTGTTCTTCCTGTTCCGTGTTCTTCCTGTTCTGTGTTCTTCCTGTTCCGTGTTCTTCCTTTTCTGTGTTCTTCCTGTTCCGTGTTCTTCCTTTTCTGTGTTCTTCCTGTTCCGTGTTCTTCCTTTTCTGTGTTCTTCCTGTTCCGTGTTCTTCCTTTTCTGTGTTCTTCCTGTTCCGTGTTCTTCCTGTTCTGTGTTCTTCCTGTTCCGTGTTCTTCCTGTTCCGTATTCTTCCTGTTCCGTGTTCTTCCTGTTCCATAGCCTTCTATCTCACCTCTGTTATTGTTATTGTTACATTGTTTTTGTTCATCCTATGGTTAAAAAAAAGTCGAATGTAAATGTTATTGTTACGCAGTTGTTCATCCTAGGGTAAGAAATATCAGCTATGAAGATTTATGTCATGTACCGTTATTGATGTTGTTATTGATGATGTTATTGATGTATTACTGTGCTTCAACATCTATGGTTGCATATTTAATGTCATGTTTTGATGTTATTGATGTTATTGGTGTATTATTGTGCTTCATCGATTACTAGGCCATATATTTCAGGTATTGTTATTGATGTGATTGATGTTGTTGTTGTTATTGATGTATTACTACCGTTTAGAATATATGGAATTAATTGGTACTGTGGTTGGAATATAGACAGACAGACAGACAGACAGACAGACAGACAGACAGACAGACAGACAGACAGACAGACAAGTAAGACAGACAGACAGACAGACAGACAGACAGACAAGTAAGACAAACAGACAGACAGACAGACAGACAGACAGACAGACAGACAGACACACACACTCGAGCCATCATCAACTAGACAGACAACTTACCTGTCCACCTGTCTTGTAAACTTCATTTCCCTACACCTGTCTAACTCCTGCCTCTCTCTGTCTCTCTCCCTACAGGACCTATTAGTAAGCTTGTCTCAGCTCCTACGTGGTACAGCCTATGACAAGCTTAAGTTCGCTTTCAAGCTTTACGACGTGAATGGAGACGGATGCATCACGAAGGCGGAGCTGACCGATATTGTCTCCTCAGTCCACGAGCTAATGGGGAGAAGTGAAATGCTGGGCTAGACATGTGGGTAGGGGTGGGTGGGGTAGGTGGGGCTGGTGGGTGGGTGGGGTAGGGGTGGGTAGGTGGGGTGGGGTGGGGTGGGTAGGTGGGTGGGTGGGGTAGGGGTGGGTGTGGGTGGGTGATGGATGGGTAGGGTGGTGGGGTGGGTGGTGGATGGATGGGGGGTGGGGTGGGGTGGGTGGGTAGGTGTGGGATGGGTGGGTGATGTTTGGGTTAGTTGGTGGTGTAGAATTTTGGAATGGGTGGAGGTGTTTTGGCCATGGTTGACTGAGGTTAATGTTTATGGGTGGATAGAGGCTAGTAACCTAACCTACCCACACTAAATCCCTTCAGATATCATGAGGTTGTTTAATCATTAGTTAAAAATAAACTAGGGTGTCTAATCTTCAGGTACAACAATTCAATACTCCCCTCCCCCCCTTCCTCTTATGAATACTGGATAAGTCAACACTACAGGAGAAAGAATACGCTAACGAAAGTGGCTTTATCTAATTAGTGGAGCTGGTGTAGTTGTCAGGTGCCTCTACGGTGTAAGTGGGCGTGTGTGTGTGTGTGTGGAGGAGGAGGTGAGTGGAAACGATTAAGGTTGAGTGGTCTTGTTGTTGTTTTTGTTTGTGGAGCCAGGTAGACTGTAGTGAAGAGCTCTTATTAGTGTTGACTGTATGGGTGTGACTGGTGCTTCTTTTGACTGTGAGGGTGTGACTGGTGCTTCTCTTGACTGTGAGGATATGACTGGTGCTTCTCTTGACTGTGAGGGGTGACTGGTACCTCTACTGAGTGTTGACTGTGAGGGTGACAGGTAATAATCTCAAGTACTGTCTCTAACTGGTGACTGTCAATACTGGTAACATCCTGAGCATGTCCTTGACAGGTGAAGGGCACTTGACTATTTGTTTCACCATTTCATTTAGTTTTTCACTTTTCTGTCATTTTTTTAAGTCCATGATGAAATACTTGCTCGTAAAATATTAACTTACTATCGAAAAAAGTAACTCAAAGTATCTCTATAATTTTATTCACGCAAACTTTAAAAACTTAATCATTTACGTTACTGAAACTCAAAAAAGTATATAATATCTTTCCCCTCAAGGAACTCCCCCCCCAAAAAAAAAAAATTATGATCGTCTCAAAACTTTTTAAAATTTTAGAAAGGTTGACTTAACGGAATTTTTTTGCGTCACTGAACTTCCAAAAACTTCCCAAACTTATTTTTTTTTTACCTCCTGGGCCCCGAGTCTTTCAGAACCAATCACCCGTGCGTTGTGTCTAGCTGTCTGTGGCTGTCTGTGTCTGTCTGTGGTAGTCTGTGACGGTCTCTGGTTGTCTGTGGTAGTCTGTGACGGTCTCTGGTTGTCTGTGGTAGTCTGTGACGGTCTCTGGTTGTCTGTAGTAGTATGTGACGGTTTGTGACGGTCTGTGGGTGGGTTAGTCTTTACCATCTGAACCAAAAGTGACGAAGATGCCGGAAAGAAAATCAATCCTGATATCAGAAGAAAACAAGAAAAATAAAGAAATGTTGACATATATTATTATCCCTTATATATAAAACGAAAAAAAAATCTCAGAATATTTAAAAAAGAAAAAAGTCTGTGTTTATCATCCATTTTGACTCCTGGCCAAATTTTTGAAAGGGAATGAATGCTTTCTTGTTTTTGAGTGGGAGGAAAAGGGGAGGGGGGGGGCGAGGGGATGGGGGAAAGGATGATGACAACAAAGGAGAAAGGACGGTGGAGAGGTGGAGGGGAGGAAGGGGAAAGAGGAGGAAGGGAGAGAGAGAGGAAGGGAGAGGGAGGCAATGAGACGATGAGCGCCAGGAGAGAAATTGCCTGGAAAAAATGAAGACAAAAACTGCTTTGGTGGACTATGCCATCAAAGGCCAAGATAGTGCCATCGAAGGCCAAGACGAAAGCATCAAAGGGACCAAGAGGTGCCACTTTCAAGGGACCCAAGACCATGCCATCAAAGTGACCAAGACAGTGCCATCAAAGGCCAAGACAGTGCCATCAAAGGGACTAAGATGAAAAGCATCAAAGGACCAAGACAGTGCCACCAAAGGCCAAGACAGTGCCACATCAAAGGACCACAAGACAGTGCCATCAAAGGGACCAAGACAGTGCCATCAAAGGGACCAAGACAGTGCCATCAAAGGGGCCAAGACAGTGCCATCAAAGGGACCAAGACAGTGCCATCAAAGGGACCAAGACAGTGCCATCAAAGGGACCAAGACAGTGCCATCAAAGGGACCAATAGACTGTGCTGGGATGGCCGAGCAGCAGACGTAGTGGCACAGGGGGAGGAAGAAGCCCTGACACATGGACATCACGTAACTTCTGCTGAGTCGAGTTTACCCTAAAAGTTCCTCAGAGGTCTGTTGCATGTATGTGGTGCATGTTGTGGCTGTGGTGTGGCTGTGGCTGTGGTGTGGCTGTGGCTGTGGTGTGGCTGTGGCTGTGGCTGTGGTGTGGCTGTGGCTGTGGTGTGGCTGTGGCTGTGGTGTGGCTGTGGCTGTGGGCTGTGGTGTGGCTGTGGTGTGACTCTTAGACCCGCCATTCCTTAGGAGTCATTTTCCTCACCAGTATTTATAGTTTTTCATTTTTTGTCGGTCAGCAATTTGTGTCCCTTCGTCAACAACTTGTTACGTCATCGATGGGCTCGTGTCCAACATCGGCGTAGATGTCTCGATATTGTCTTTCCATGGTGACTTCTCGCCTAACAGTTCTCCATAGTCAATTTCAAGCATATATTTTACCTTGGAAGTCTTTAAGTTTCTCAAAAACAAATTCATATGCTTTTAAATTCCCCTCGTTATTTATTTTCTGGTGAAGTTCTCCATCACAAGAGACAGACCCGTAGTCAACCTCCTTAAGATATCTAACTGTAGATGCCGCGCGACCAGTACACCCCGTCCCCTCAGCCAGCGATCGTTCACAGCGTAAATTTTCTGTAGATGGTTATCTGATGTGACATTCTCCCCGGCAACTACCAAGCTGACTTTACAAGCCTCCTCCCCCGTCCCCCTCATCCCCCACAACACCCTCTCCTCCCTACCTTTTGTCTTCCCCCCTCCCCCCTCCCCATCCAAAAACCTATCCCCCCCCCCTCACCCCGTCTCCTAGCCACCCCTATTACCTCCCTGACCCTACTTCCATCTCTTACCTTCACCCCCAAGCCCTCACGCCTCCAACCCTAATCTACCCAACCCCCTCCTCTACCCCACCCCTCCTCTGCCCCACCCCTCCTCACACCCCCTCCCGGCTCTTCACCATCTCCCCCTCTCCCCTCTCTCCTCAGCCCTTTTCCTCTCCCCCTCCCTTGTTCCCTCCCTTACCCATCATATCTACCCTCCACTCCCCTCCCCTATCCCTCCTACCCTCCGGATGAATCTAGGGATGTCCGGGAGGTTCTGGATGGTGATATTCGGACCCGGATGGATTCAGAGCTTCGTTATGGCGGCTTGGGAGGATTCGGATCACATTCCTTTACCTCAAATAACCTTAATAAATTACTAAATCGATTCGAACCGATACATACTGGCCTAAACGGATTCGGATAGCGTTCAGTAGAGGCCCGGATAGTCTCTGGAAGCGCCGGGTGGATCATAGTTTAACGATCGGATACCTGTAGGCCTTAGGGCGTGGGGAGAGGCAGGGGGGGGGAGAGAAGGGGGAAGGTGGAAGGAGTAAAGGGGAGGGTAGAGGAAAGGGAAAGGGTGGGGGAGAGGGCAAGAGGAAGGGGTAGGGGAAGGGGAGGGTAGGGGGAGGGAGAGCGGGTATAATGGGCGTGTTCGTCGGATATTAATATAGTTATTGCTCGTATTCGGGTTTATAGAGGCATAAAGTGACCCGCCCACCGCCACTACCACTTTCTTGTCCACGTACGCAAGTTTTTGGCCTCTGACGCAAGTTTTTGGCCTCTGACGCAAGATTTTGGCAATGGCGAAAGAGTTTGGCCTGTGGTGCAAGATCTTGACAATGACGCAAGAGTTTGGCCTGTGACGTAAGATTTTGGCCTATGACGCAAGATTGTGTCCTGTAACGCAATATTTGATCCGTGACGCAAGATTTTGACCTGTGGCATTATTGGTTAATTTATTGTCGTGTATTTGTTTGTTTTAACGTGTGTTTCTTTGTTTGGTGTCTGATGTACGTAGTTTTTGTCGGTAATTTTTCTTCTTTCTTTTGTTTTGTTTTGTTTTTGACGTATACTTCTGCTTTTTTTTATTTATAGTTTGTTTTTTGTCCTTGTTTATTTGTCACACACACACACACACACACACACACACACACACACGTCACAGGTCAAACATTTAAAGAGACAAATGATGGTGTCTGAGTCTTATTAGCTCTCTCTCTCTCTCTCTCTCTCTCTCTCTCTCTCTCTCTCTCTCTCTCTCTCTCTCTCTCTCTCTCTCTCTCTCTCCTTTTTATGTTCTAGTGATTTATTGGATTCCTTTATTCCTCCTTTTCGTTTCTATTTCTTCATCTTTCATATTTGTTTATGTTTCTCGTTGATTTATTGCATTATTCCATTTCCTGTCTTCGTCTTATCTGTTATTGTCATGTTTCTTATTTATTCTACATTTTTTCCTATTACTTATTCTTCTTCTTCATTCGTTACTTTTGTCCTTTTGTATCAATTTTGTTTCGTCTCTTGTTCTACACCGTCAAGGCTTCGTCGACTATAGTTTCTTGAAGTATAACATTCCTCACGTTCCTTCCCGTCAAATCTTCCCGTCAGAGTTGGAAAGGCGTGCGTTCCTGGGAGTCAAATCTTATCACATAGTTTCATAATACATCGTTCTGTACCGTCCTGGCTGTCAAATCTTAGTATGTAGTTTCAAAATAAATCGTCTAGTGCCTTCCAAGATCGTGAAGTTTCAGATACATTCAAAAGTCAGCGTTCTGTAACTTCTTTACCTTCAGTTTTGTCCCCAGAATGTCAGAATTTATTGTTCCCGGCGGTAAATCTCTCCCTAGATTCCGTTC